ACGTCCATACAAAAACATTTTACTTTCACAAGAGTCATTTATTATGACTGGGGAGAAATGACAATGCTGCATCCAAACAAAATCTCAACCAAGCTCATTGACTACATATATTGACCCAATTGGATAATTTTTTCTCTCTTCCTCAACTTAACGAGAAAATGAACCAACTACCACATGTCTCCTGTTTCCTGGGCAGGCTTGCATATCTAGGTTGGCAGGCACCATGTGTATGAATTATCTAAACTACTCAAGCCTCCAAATTAGGCTGTATTACAGAATTTCCTTATCCTCAGCCTTAATATTCTCAGTCTGAGATGTCCAGACTTCAGGACGTGGTGAAGCGCAAGATCAGAATCAATCAAAATCTAAAAACCAGGCAACTCGGACGCAGCAACATGAGAAGCTGGATGGATGGCAAATGTGATGATAAGAAATGAAAGCAAAACAGAGGTGAAGAAAGTTCTCATCTTTATATCACACAACTTCCCTTCCCTGCCAGCAGGTCTTGTGACCTGTGATCTGTACATCTTTACGTACAACAAAGAGGAGGCTGGAGCTGGCAAATAAAGCTCAGAGTCGAGTTCCCATGTTTCCTACGCTGTGGTCTTGGATCCACTGTATGGATGTACCAGTCTTTGTATCTCTTGCTGTTTTCAGGAAACAAGGTTGGGATGTGCCTGTGTTGTACTTGAAGAACGAGTGTTGGTGGCAAAATGGCACGATGGGGAGAATGTGCAATCATTATAATCTCAGTAAATTGCATTCACAATAATTTGTCACTCTGCTGTGCGAAATGTGTCTAAGTGGCACGCAGTGAACTTACTTGTGGTGTTTGGTGTTGGATGGCTTATGTAAGGAATTGGATCTTGTGTGGTGTGTTGGGCTGCCAAAAACATTGTATATACGTGTTTGGGAGAGGAAAGCATCTCCTTCCTGGTGGGCATGAAAATAGCAGTATTATTTCTGTCATGAGTTAAAAAAATGCAATGTGTACATTATGTCAATCACCTTGACTCTCTCTTGCAACATACACAGTAGACTCCAGAGATGGACCAATGTGTGTCTACTAAAATGTGTTAACAAGATCGATATTGCCAGTTATGGCAATGATGTCTCCTTTGAACCTGCTAGATGAAGGGTTAGAGTTGCCTCACACTAATAGTGATTGTATATTGACTTAATGGAGTTACTCCTAATTTACACCAGTACATGTGAAAGGAGAAACCAGTCCAGTAGGGGAAAAATATTCTTTGACAGGGAATGCTTGGTAAGTTTTGAGCTGATGAGTACTGGAAAGTGGCTGAATGTGTATGTGCTTATATATATGCAAATATTTCTCTGATAACTGCCCCAGAGTAACTTACTTCTAAGGGTGTCAACTCCTTGACCCTTTCCATGGATGGTTTGAGTGGAGAATGTTTCTGTTACTATTTGCTCCACTGGAGTGAGGACACGGGACTGGGGTGGTCCTCCTCCGGCTGCAGCTCTCTGATGTTCCCCAATTTTTTTCCTTATCACCCCACGGAGATCTCGCCATTTGTGTTTCAGGTCCCCCACGTCCCGCCTGCAGTACCCTAAAACATTGACAGCTTGTAGGATCTTATTCCACACTTTGTGCTTCTTGGCAGGGGTCCCCTTTAAGGCCCCCAAAATTAGCTGATAGTGTTTCATGACCTTTTGCACCAGCACCTCAGTCTCCTGTGGTCTAAAATTGGGTTTCCTTGTTTTGTTCCACGAGTGCTGGTCTGGACATGGAGTTCCAGCCGTGTAGTGTGTGAACATAATAACATTCCCATGAGTAGCAGGGTCAGAAGGAGAAGCAACCAACTGAGCAGCCATCGCAGACTCTAGTGTGGAACGTCTCTTGCAAATCAACATGTTGAGGTTGGTTCCTAAAAAGGCACCAAATGTTGGGTATTTATATGCGCTTTTATAAGGTAGCGTGTAAATTCTAAATGAGGATTTGCGCGCGCACCTTATATGCGTTAACAAAAAAGAAGTGTGTCCCACTCCCATATCTGAATCTTGTTTGAAAATGTAACCTCCCTGCCTACTTGCTAATCTGCAGCTGTGAAAGCCTCTTAACTTTCCTCACAGGGTTACACTGCTAAAACGAAATCTCAGCTAACACATGGGAAAAGGCCAGTGCCAACAAAATTGCTGTCTACATAACTACAGGAGTTAACTTCATTTCCTTCATGAGAGCTTGTGTCAGTTGTACAAAAGAACAATTTCTCACAGGTGATCATTCACTGATTAGCCACAGTAGTAGACATGCTGGAGTAAGAGAGGACATTTACTCGGGATCTAGCATAGATTTAGGGATCAGATCCTGCAATGGAGGCAGGGAGGTAGATTAGATGACTCAGTAGCGATATGTATTTGAAAGTATTTTGGCTTGCTACTGCCCTAGGCTGGCATAAGAGTGGACCAAAAAGATCCTTGTCCCTGATGTAATGATAATTGGTGTCACTAACCACTATTAATGAATCAGGCCCATTGATATTATGATCCTCAAACATGTTAATGTAACCACTGTAAGAGAGGAAAATATTGCTATTGTGAACAGAAGATCACAATCTTTAGGGATGATGATGTATTTGCAAAAGATGCAAAGTGATAGAGATACATCATCTGGGATTCCACATTTTTTCCTTCTTCGTTTATTCCCCCCCTCCCTTGCACAGCAGCAAACTCCCCTCTCTTTAAGAAGGACTGTGGACGTGTTGCCTCAAGAGCTAGCCAACTTGGTACCTAGGTCAACTACCTCTGGTTACTTGAGACAACATGGATCTCCTCCTGAGGTAAGCACAAACTGCCCTTCTAATGCTTCCAGCAACGTGGTGGGCATGGGTGAGTGTGAGACATGATCTTGTATCATGGACACAACAATATATTTCGCTGGTTAGACTCACAATTCTCCACTAAACAGTTGTTTAACTCAAACGAGGACACACAGTTACAAAACTTTTTTCTCGTGTGTGTAATAGGCAGAACCTAAGCCTCTGGGTGTGATGAGCCCTTTCCTTTCTCGTCAACGCTGAACTTTCACTCGGGGTTTTTCAACTCCCTGTATGTGCTGATTCCTAATCTCTCTCACTTGTATGTAACACAAATGTCAAAAGATAAACAGTGGAACTTGCATCTGTTGAATAGGGAGATATCTCTTGAATGGCATGATTGACTGAAAAGCTACTCAGAAAGAAATAAAAAGGTTTGCGATGCTACTGAAAAAACGAATGCCCCCTAAATAAAAGAACGGAAAGAATGGTACTTGTTTAAAGACAAAAAGGCCTACTTTCTACACCTTTTCATTTTCTCCCAGGCAAGTTAATATTGGGAACACTTCCACCACGTGGGTAACAACTTAACAATAAATCAAACCTTAAGGAACTTGGTGACATAGGTCATGAAAGTAGCTGATCTATGCTGCCATGTCCCTCAAGGCAATAACATCTGATATGCCTCCTGAGGCCCAAGCGGATTCAGTAGTTATCCGGGCACAAAAAGAGCTGCCAAACAAGCACAAGATCAAAAACTGAATTGTTGAAGATGTCATCTTGATTTTGTTGTGTGTCTGTGAATGAACAGGGTGTTCCACTGTGTGATGGCAGCTGCCCATTTCTGTTTGGATGGACATGCCGCTCCTTGGACGGTTGCCAAAGCCTGCGTGCTGTGCAAGGAACCAGTGTGATCAATAGACAGACTGCAAGTATTGCTCCTTTTACAATCTCCCTCCTAAGGTCTAGTCCAGGGGTTCCGCATCTTTGGAAACCAGGCGTATTTTGCAGATAGGTCCCGACACATGGATTTAAGCCTGGCTTAGGCACTCAGGTTCTTAGGACATTGTGGCAATTATGTAAGGCACCAGATAGTTCAGTTAATCTCACAGAAACTGGAAAACAAGAGTGGGAGAAACATATCTGACCCTTCCTTCCTTTACCTGTAACAGGATATAAACACAGGAGATTTTAACAGAGGTGGATCTTTTATATTCTGCCTCCATTTCTTTCTCCTGATCCCAAAAGGTTCAGGATTGGTCACCACTTCTAGTGGTGCTGGAACACATTTTACAGAGGAGGTGCTGAAAGCCAGTGGTCCCCACCACTCCCAAAAACCCCTTTTTACCTCAACTCCCTTACTCCTATCTGTGCCCACCACACCCCAGAGTTAGGGCCAGGAGCAGGGCCATGGTTCTGGGCGGAGGGTGACATGAATTAGGGAAAGGAGGCCAAATCTGGGACCACGCATGAGGGGCTGCAATTAGAGTCCCTCGGTGCAGATCCAGTGGCAGCCACTGGTCCACATGCAGTATAGGGAACAGAGCCCAATCACACGTCCTGCATGTGGGAGCCTAGGTGTGGGGCCTGGAGAGCTGGGTATGGGGTGGCGGCCAGGACCACACAGTTCCCATTCCTATGTCCACTTCCTGTCAGTGGTGCTCTGGATGTTGGGGAACAGTCAGTAAACTGGGCATTTTCTCTGTTCCCCTGTCTTCCACCAGTGCACAAGCATGCTGCTTCACTCTGCTCCAAAACCCTGCCGGCTAGGGAATCAGACTTCAGACCTACAGTGCATGTGGCCAAAAATATTCTGTGACAGAAAAAGAAAGTTTTATTAAGCAGAACTGAGCAGCACGATTTGCGGCAGCTACAATAATTTTTTCATTCCAATTCCTGAGGAAGATTAACCAGGTCTTCTTATTTTAGTTTCTCACTATTTCTTCCCTTCCCTATACTCAACAGCGCAGGGTCTGCTATCCCTATGAAATCTATTTTTATGCAAACACTACCAGTAACAATCACAAAGAGATGATCCACGTCACAGAGGGCAGCTTTTCAAACCCAAGGAGATTTCCACGTTCAGAATCCCCTAGAGTACAGGACGACTAGTCTTAGTGGCAACTTGGCTGTATTAAGCAGTTATAGAATTTGGGTCATTTTGACCCCTTAACTCCTTCATAGGTGAGTTCTCGCCAATCGGAAAGGCAAAGTGAGACAAAGCACATACCTTAGCACTAATGGTGATACCTACCTATTGTGTCTCCTTGTTCATAAACCATGGAGGCCAGGTCTTTAATGATCTGGTTTACGTCCAACATGTCGCTCTGAAAAGGTGAAAGGTTACAGTAAATGGTCAACAGATACATCAAGAGCCAAATGAGTTGCCCCATTTTTCAAGCATGGAAACATTTTTTTTTCATCTACACAGAACAGTAAGGACTAGATATTCTCACAATGCCTTAACTGGCCTCCTAAGTAAAACTATAATTTGTTGGACTTCAATTATCGAGCTTTGCACCTGAACTGGATGTGTTGCCTTCTAAAAAGAAGTCAAATAATGAGACCACCCAGCTGCTTGCCACAACTGTGAAGCACCGAGGAACAAAAAACAGCCTTCCCCTATTTCTAAGGAGCAGCTTTTGAAGGTACAGCCACTTGGACAGCCACTTCTTATGTACAAAATTCTAGTTCTCTAAGTGTTGCGTGTTTGTGGTGAAATACCATTAGAAAATGAATTGAGTGCTGATGGAAAGACTGTCAGATTTTGAAATCTCTTTATATTTCGGTCAGTCAGGGCAAAGCTATGTGATGAAAGGACTCTATTTGCACTCCTTCAAAATGTCAACGAATTAACTAGTGAAAGCAACAGTAATTCTTAATAGTCAAAAAAGCAACTGCTACAATCAAGTCTTGGCTGCATGTAACTCTGACTCTAAAAAGAATGATTACTCTATAAATGGGATAATGTTGAATGCAACAGAAAAAAGACTCCTATTAGCATATCAGAAAAGAACACTGAATTTTTGAATGTTTATGGTCTTTCATGGAGAAACACCCAACTTTGTTTACTATTTTTACACACACTTTGTTTACTATTTTTAATTATTTTTAACAGTAAACTTTGTTTACTATTTTTACACACACCCAACTTTGTTTACTATTTTTACAAAGCTGCTTTATGTATAACATAACTACAGGCTGAACCTCTCTAAACCAAGACATTCTGGCCTGTTGGGCCATGGATGTTCCAGGACCAGACGTGGCCAGGAGACCAGTGTGCTGTATTTGGGCTGCCTGGTGGTGCCGGGAGCCCAGTGGAGCCAGCTAGGAAGCAGGTACAGTAGCAGGCTATGGCTGGGAGCCGGGCCAGAGTTGGAATGGCCGGTAACAGGAAACCCAGGAATGACCTCCTCTGGTCTGGCAAAATCCCTCATCTGAGACTGGTCAGGTCCCGAGGGTGCCTGACCAGGGAGGTCCAACCTGTATCATACAATTTTATTGTGGGTTCCATCATAATACAGTACTTCTGATACACAGATAAATTGCCAACTGATGCCAAATACAATTCACAGCATCAGAGCGAGAGCAAACTTTACTCCTGTGTGAAGTATCCCTGGGTCATTAATGTCCACATGGAGCAGACAAACTCTCAGGACATAGTAGCCACTTTCGGTAGTATTAACTTCCCTTAGATCTGCAGAGAGATATTTTCAAGTGCTGGTGCATAAACATAAGGGCTATGTCTAGACTGGCATGATTTTCCGCAAATGCTTTTAACGGAAAAGTTTTTCCGTGAAAAGCATTTGTGGAAAAGAGCATTTAGATTGGCACAGACGCTATTCCGCAAAAGCACTTTTTGTGGAAAAGCGTCCGTGCCAATCTAGATGCACTTTTGCGCAAAAAAGCCCCGATCGCCATTTTCGCCATTGGGGCTTTTTTGCGCAAAACAAATCTGAGCTGTCTACACTGTCCCTTTTGTGCAAAGGCTTTGCGCAAAAGGGACTTTTGCCCGAACGGGAGCAGCATAGTATTTCCGCAAGAAGCACTGATTTCTTACAGTAGGAAGTCAGTGCTTTTGTGGAAATTCAAGCGGCCAGTGTAGACAGCTGGCAAGTTTTTCTGCAAAAGCCAGTCTGGACACAGCCAAGGTCTTTATTCTTGACTGTAAATCCCAGGGAATTAGTGTATTTGTGGAGAGGAACCCCCAGTGAGTGTACTGGGGCACAGAGAGAAAACATATACACATACAAACATGTGTGTGCATGCATGCACGCAACACACACTCACGCGTACTCCCGACAACAGATATGGGAACACTCCTCACAGAGAAGTGTAATTTCTTTCTCCCCTCAGATTCAACCCATATGTTCCTCACAGGATACCCACTCCCGCCCTCCAACTTTTAAAATCTCTTCTGAGAGATTCCCACACACTGCTAACTGAATGGTAGCTTAGTCGCTGACTTCAGCTCTGCTGGGAGTAGAATTTGTGATGTAAAGAAGATTTAACTGTCCCAACCTGATAGCTAGACTAGCATTTCTCAACTATTTTTTTTATAAAGTACCACCTTTAAAAAAAAGTATAAGTACCCCCAGCCCCTCCGCTCTAACCCAATGCCCTTCCCCTCCCCCAGAGCCAGGCACCCCAGCCCCCCTGTTCTAACCCAATCCTCTTCCCTTCCTGCAGAGCCAGCCCTCCCCAGTCCCCCCGCCCCCCGCTCTAACCCAATGCTGTGCTGTGCCGACGATCAGCTGATCCGGCACAGCGCGGTAGTCTAGATATGGATCAGTCGGCTGGGGAAGCCTTTGCTGACTGATCCCTTATGCCTCATGAAACGAGGCTTACAGGATCGGTCAGCCATGTAGTCTAGACATACCCTTTTTGTGGTTTAAAAAAGCCAGCCAGATGGCAATTTAATAATGACCCACCCTTCCCCAGAACCAGGCACCGGATGTATGGTAACCCTACCTTTGAAGTGCCCACTCCTGCTGCCTGGCCCTGCCTCGGCGGCTTGTCTGCAGGGAGCAAGTGTCCACCAGCATAGGGCTCGCCACGTGGGGCTGTGCACTCCCACCCTAGCCTGATGCTCCCTTAGCGTGACGCCTGGGAGCAACTGTTAATGACCCACCCTTCCCCAGAACCAGGCACCGGATGTATGGTAACCCTACCTTTGAAGTGCCCACTCCTGCTGCCTGGCCCTGCCTCGGCGGCTTGTCTGCAGGGAGCAAGTGTCCACCAGCATAGGGCTCGCCACGTGGGGCTGTGCACTCCCACCCTAGCCTGATGCTCCCTTAGCGTGACGCCTGGGAGCAACTGTCCCCCGCTTGCTCCCCTTCGCTATGCCACTGATGCGGGTGGGTCCTTTGGAGTAAAGCTTATTGTGCTGCTTCACCACCTTTTATCTCCTCTCCACTGCACCACGGGGAAGGGGCGATGGGGATGTGTGGTACTGTGCTGCTAGCGGGGGTGGGGGTCATGTGCATCTCCAGGTTCAGCCGCCCTCCCCACTGGAGCACCCTGGTGAGGATGCTGGAGAGAAAATGAACTAGGAGAGGCAGCTGTGGAAGAGATTTTTTTTCTCCCCTCCCAAACCTGCCCCCAACTTGAACTGCCCTGGGTCTCATGGGAGCCACCACTGCTGCAGCCACACGCTTTTCCTGCCCGGCGCTAGGGCGAGTGCACAGAGTGGCTGTTAACGTCCGGTGGCATGGCTCCAAATGTTCAATTTTACAGGCACGTATCGCCACCTCCTCCCTGACCCCTTTGCAGAGCAAAATCCCAGACATTTTTTGCCAAATTTCACTTGTGTTGACATACTCTTCCCCCCCTCCCCCAGACTTCTCAACGTGTATCACTGGTTGAGAAACACTGAGCTAGACAACTAAACTATCCACTCTGATTAAATTATAAATTATTCCAAGTGTATCTACATTTATTTTTGAAGTTTATTGCATAATTGTGAGTAGAGTAGCACTTAATTATAGAATGCAGTCGAATCTCATTAATTTGTAATGGAGACTGGGAGAAGCACAGTGAATTAATGAACATGGCAAATTTCCGAGCAAGTGAACAAATACAAGAACCAAGAGCTAAAACAATTACAAAGGATAGGGTAAGGCCTCACAAAATGTACCGTGTTCACGTATGTGTCGAGTGCTGTCTAGCTTTAATTATGTAGGAGAATATTCATAACTAGTAAATGTTCTGTGGAATATTTCATAGAAGTAATGAGATTTAAAGGATCACACTTTAATTGATCATATACCATTGTCAAGGAGGCCGATGAGAGTGTTGTTCTACTATGGGGTGTGGGGATTCGCAATGAAAGAAAGAGATGATGCGTGCAGGGGTGAGGAGGAAGCAGCATTCACACAGGTCTCTTGGGCTTAAGTACATCTCCGTCAAAACTTGGTTGAACCAGAAAGAAGTTCACCTCTTTCAGCCTGATTGTCCCTTCTAAAGAGACCGCAATGGAATGGAATCACTACTGCATCTCTGTCTGATGTGTGCATCTGTAGCTGCATTTGGTTACATGGTGACTCTTTGGCTGTAATGCAGAAAATCCCTCCAGTGTTTACACTGAAGTCAAGGGCAAACAAGTGAACAAACTTTGATTCGGAAGGATTAAATTACCTACTGCCTCAAAAGTCAATTACACTTCACACATTGCTGTGATATTTACACAATAATCTTAGCATATTGCAATATAAATGACAAGAGAAGAAGCACACAGATAAACTTACTATACATTATTAGTCACACACTGTAATGCTTGCTGCCTATCATACCCCATTATTTAGGGGAAAATAGACTTCCGCCCTTGCACTGTGAGCCCAATACTTTCTTTTCCAAAATCCATAGCAATGCTTGAAGATATTGCTGAGCATCAATGCAGTAGAGAAGCTGCCATGGATATCAGAAGGTTAAAAGGGAGCAAGGGAATGAACTTAGAAATTGTTGATTACGGTATTAAAAAGCAAAAGAGAGCAAGTTGTAAAGTGGTGAGCACAGAATAATATCACCTACCACATGGAATCTGCTGAATAATTTAACCAAGCGCCGTAAAGCTTCCAAGGTACTGAAATATGTTAGCAAACAAAAAAATAAATGACTTTTCATTGCATACAGTATCCGAGAGTTACATTCTGAGAGCTTCCTGCCAGGAAGCAGTACATCATGATGAACCATTGAACCTTCCTGTCATTGCGAGTTTGCCTATAAAATGAAAGAAGCACCTCTATTTTCCAAGTTTCTACAGATTGTACATGTTTCACAATGGAATATAATGGCTCACAAATCTCCTTCACTTTATAGAAACAAGAAA